TCGCACACACCAGTCGGAAATACTCTTCTACATTAAAATCACAGGTATTCAGCATATGTTAGAGCCATGGTGTAGGAGTGGAGCACCCAGCCTCTGGGGTCATGCTGTCCAGACTCAGATGCCGGTTCTTCCACTACTGTGTGTCACCTGTGCCTTGATTCTTCATCTGTAAAGTGGGGGTAAAAATAGCACCCTCATCGGTGAGAAGGTGTATGGATCGAATAAGTGAATAAATTCACAATCCCCTGATCTGAATGTATTTTGGGATTTGGGATTTTTCCCCTTTTAAACAGTGGTATGGTTCACATACAGCCTTTAAGGAAACATTCCCAAAGCACCTCATAATTAAACTGATTCCTATTGCTGTAGCAAACATATTTATAGCTATACATATTGGAGAGATATTATAAGTAGCCTTCCACTTATTCAGGTCAGGTTTTGTTGCCAGTAGAATTAGGAAAAAAAAATGGGGGTTTTAGAGCTTTTTGGGTTTCAGAATTATGGATAAGGGGTTGGGGATGGATATTTTTATATATAATGCCTGGCACACTGGAAGGTGCTCTATATCTTAGTTATTACTGGTACTGTCATTTAAAATGTATTTTAGTTGATGTAGCATTTTTTTTTTTCTTATTTAAAGTTCTTGTATACAGTTTTTTCAAGTATTCCTTTTCTTTCTTAACTATGTCCTCTTTTTAGAAAAGGTGTCTGATCTTTGCGTGGCTTAGACTTGACCCAGCAGGAATGTCCTGTTACTGCTGACACCTAAGAAGAGCCTTTGGCCCCAAATGGTTGGCTGTCTTCTAAGTTAACATGGACGGAGGCCAAGACATTTGTAGAGCTCAGACTGTAGTTAAAGTCTGGTGTTTCCTATTGTCCTTGCAAAGTTGAGATTATTCTGTCGTTTGCAGTTTTGAAGTCTATTAATAGTTTATATTCCTACTTCCATGTCTGGAAAACGTATCAGAAAAAAGTATGAATTTAAAATAGTTCTTCAGCATTCTTTATTTCTGACTGTACCTGTCAGCCCCCCTCCACCATCCGGTCCACGTTAGCACTTATGCTGACCTTCCTTGCCTTTAAGTACATTTATAAATCAAGGGCATTTATAAATTTAAGTATATTTATAAATTAAAACCATTTAAATTTAAACAATTTAAATAGAGAAAGATCAAGTTAAATATATATATTAAACCTCTAGAGGGTGGATGACTTTAAGCTTAGAAATAATAGATGTTCTCAGATGAAAAGTCTGATAGATTGGACCACATGATGATCCCATTGTTGTTAATGAAGCAGTGGGGCATTTTTACTGATTTATATAAACTCATAAAAAATACTGTCTCAGTCATTTTCTGTAATTTTGTTCTCATTCTCCTTGCATCATCATTTTAAAACCCATCTTCTGTGATCCCCTGCATCAATTTTTACATTGTTTCCTAAAGATAAATTCCTAGACACAGAATTGCTAGATCGTCTTTAAATTGGGGAATGAATTTGATGCAGTTTGAGTGATAATGGCAGTCTTTTAAAAAATGTCTTTATGGGCATTTTGCAAAAGGAGGAAGAAAAATGTACACAGGTCCTATTTTTCTTACAATAGTGTTTAGCATTTAAATTACATTCTCATAGGAAGTTTTTAATTTTTCCCCTCTTGGGTGTAAAACAGTTACATTATGTGAGTCTTAAATGCCTTTAATACAGGCATCTGTCACTCAACTGCAGTGAACTCTTTACTAGGGAGAATGTTGCTAATGGTTGATTGTGAGCCCTGTCTGCCCTTCCTTACTAATTAGTAACTCAACCAGATGTGTAAAGCGGTAAGCTGAAAATCTTTTTTTTTTTAAGCTTAAGGTGAAGATGTTGGAGAAAATCCAACAAAGTCAGGCGCTTATCTGTGAATTTTGATTGTCCACCTTCAGTCACCAGTTCTAGTGGGTAATTTAGAGTCTGCTGTTGGGCTACATTTCTAACCTGCTGCTCTGGATGCCTATAAGGACATTTCCTCTGTAAGCTCTTGGGATGCTTCCAATTTTTATTTTGCAGATAGCAGAAGAGGTGCCGAATCTTGCCTGTGGTCACTCAGTGACTAGAGATGAATTTCTGTTCCTGACCCAGTTTATGGTGTTTACTGAAGGAAAATCCATGCTCCTGGGCAGCCCATTTATGCTTCCCTTATTGTCTCACAGCACACAGTGATTGTTACATTCTTTTCCAGCGTCCTCTAATCCCTAATTACTATCCATTACCATAACATTAGCCACATGTGGTTATTTAATACTTATTTATATTTGTAATGTTTATATTTAATATTTACTTCAATAAGGTAAACAACTTCAGTCCCTTGGCCACACAAGCCACATTTCACATCAGTAGCCACATGTGGAAGAGTGCAGATAGGCAGCTTTTCTCTCACTGCAGACAGTTCTGTGGGACCACACTTCAGACCTTCCCTCAATAGCAGCTAACCTTTGCCACATAACCTAAAGAGAAAATGACTCATACATGTACCTACTTTGAAAACCTGGAAATTTCTTTGGCATTCTTTTTCTGTCTTTCCTTGTATATCATCCTTGCCGAGTGCTCTTTTCCCTCACAGACTGATTCCCAGTCAGAGGTTCTGAACTGATGGGCAACAGTGGATTGGACCACTCGCTGCTTCCCTAGAACCATCCCTCTTATCTCGCAGTACCCGCTGCTTTCTCTCCTGCACTCCTGTCACCTTCCACCATGCCCGCAAACGTTGGCATGGGCCACTAGCCCATTTCCCTCCTTCTCTTCACCAAAGTTCTCTGAAAAATAGCCCATGTACCCAGTCTACAATTCTTACCACCTAGAGTCCACCCTCCTCTCCCCCGCACCGCTCAGAGTTCTCTGACAGGCTTGCAGCTGCCTCCCAATCGCCAGACCATGGCAGCCTCGTCACAGCCACCCTCTTCCTCAACATGGCACGAGTATCTGATACTGTGGACAGTTCTTCCTTATCCTTTCCTTTCCCCTTGACTTCTGTAGTGTTTTTTCTTTGGGCTCCCCTCTCCTGGTATATTTCCGACCCCGCACAGTTCTGGCCTCCTCCATTTCCCCCACCTTGACTGGCTCATATTCCCAGATGCTGGGAGTCCCCACACTTACCATGCCTACATTGGATTTGTTTCCCTGACCTCCAGATCAAACAGCCCAGTGTTTGGTGGACACATCTCTTCAGATTATCCTGTGTCTACCTCAGCATTAAAACATTCAGTCCTAAATAGAAGTTATTAGCTTCTGGGCACATTTTGCCTCCTGACTTCCTCATATATAATAAATTATACCACATGCCCCCAGCCACATCTTTTCACATCTTTTTCTGTATCTGCTCATTCCATGTGTTTGCCTTATCATATCTGTTTTATCACTATGATAGTTTTTCTGGCCATCCCTTATTCACCTGTCCTAACCTTCTACCACCCTCCCCCCTATTCCACCCCACCCCACCCTGATACACACTTTAGGTCTGGCTCTCTTTGTCTTTGGACTAGAGTATTTTTCCTGTATACTTCCATTTATTTGGGTTTTTTTCTTCACTCGTGTTGTTTGATAGATTTCCTGAAGTCCATTTAAAGAAAAACAAATATACATGCAAAATGTACATAATGATCGCGAACTTAAATTTCTGAATAAATAATAGATTTCCATGGTTCAAAATTCGAAAAGTACAGAAGGCATGAGGTCAAAAATTTGGCTCTCACTTGTCTCTTTTCTCAGATCCTGTTCTCCTGACAGGTAGTCAAGGAGTAGTTTCATGGGTTTTTCTTTTTTTTAGAAAGTTGTTCATGTATATATGTGTGCATTATGTGTGTGCATGTGCATAAGTTTTCCCTTTTCTACAAAGTGGAAGCATAAGAAGGACACTCTTCCACTTTGGCCCATTCCTAAGCCCCTATCCAAGAACCTTCAAGGACTCCCCGTTGGTGGTAAATTTGTCTCTGCCCTGTCAGTGGAAGGAGAAGCAGATAATTCAGTACCCCATAGCAAACAGTGGAGGCACCTGACACTGTTTTCTGTCAGACTCGACTCTGGCCAAATGGGTCTACTTGCCGTTCCCTTAACATGTTCCTCCATGCATTTCTGTCTCCCTTCCTTTGTACAGAGTGCCTTCCCTCCATTCTCCATGGGCCTGTCCAAACCCATTGCCTCCTTGAAGACTGAGCTCACAGACCACAGCTTCTGCATCCATGAAGCTTCCCCATTTCCTGCTCCCTTCTGCTAAAAAGGATCTAGTCTTCTAGATTCTGAGCACTCTCACAGGGCATATCCTTTTCTACCCTGGATTCCATTTCCATGTCTGTGCAATGCTCCTAATTTAGTTATTAATGTCCTGAACACAAGAAATGGTGCCTTGCTTTGTCCTCTCATCCCTGAAAAGTCCTCTAGCCTGGTGTCTTGCATATACCGATGAATGAAAAAGAGTAAAATTGATTCTGTTCTTTGACACAAGGGGTTGGGGAATACTAACTTCTCATGTAAAAATCACTCCTGTCCCTGGGCATTCTGGCTTTTTGTTGCTGTTAAAATAAAAATGCCTTTTTCTTCCTCCTACGAATGTATTTAAGAGCCTAGAGTCACCAAGCATTGCATTCTCAATGACTGCTGCTGTGGCTTTCTGGGGAAATGGTGCTAATCCATCCCATGTTCATTCTGTTGCCAGCCGAGAGCATTGGCAGGACCACAGTGTCCTTATCACAGCACAGCCAGACCTTAATTGGAACCAAGTGTCCATTTTCATTATGAGATTAAGAATGCTATTCTGGAACTTTAATTTACAAAAAAGTAAACAAAAATTATGAGTAGAATTTAATCTCACCGGTGCAGTTTTAGCTATAACATCATTAGAGGGTAGAGCAGTAAACTATATGCATTCGAGGATACAGTGGATTCAGAGACCGGGTGTGCTGACTGGGAGGTCGCTGAAGTGTGATCAACATGTACCATGATGCTTTCTTGCTTTTTTGTGCTCTTAGGTTTTTGAAGAACCCTCCATTAGCCTTTTTGCTCTGGAACACTGTGAAGGAAGAGAGTTACATCTAGAAGAGGCTGTGAACTCTGTTCTGAACAAGGACCTGCACTTCTACACCCAGTCTGTCTGGGTAAAAAGTGGACTGTAAGTATGGGACAGGGGCTTGATCTGTTTGAGTCAGTGTTTTAGGAGAGAGTTGCACAGTTGCTTTTTATTTCCCCACTGCTGCTGTTGTGTGATCTGAAGACACTGTTACTCCTTTACTCGCTCAATGTAATAATAGTAGTTTCTGTTTCAGTAAGATAAGACCATGGACCAGGTCCCGTATGTAGTGGCATGCCATGGTCTGGGAGAAGAGCCCTTTGGGGGAGAAGGGCTGCCATGTGTTCAGAGCATGCGTCTTAGAGTAGGTAGACCAGATGACCTTAACCAGTTGAGCCCACTTCTCTTTCAGGCGATACCTAACGAAATCGATAGCTTCTTTGGTTGACACCATTGCCTGCCTAAGACAACTGACTGTTTGTAAGACTGATAGTGTTTTGTTGTCTTTTGATTTGGCAACTTGTTTCCTCTAGAGCTCTCTGCTCCAGGTACTTATTTTCATGCTGAGGATCCTGAGGTGGACCTGGCCTACCCACCAGTGGTGCTGTTCATTTAGGTTGTCGGGGCAGATCCAGGGTGTGTGGGGCCTGCACTTACACAATTTGGGAGACTGCTTTACAAAAAGATATGAACAATTATGGACACATAAATTAGGTATGAACTTGCATATTTATTTAGAACAAAAATGGTATGAGGCCTGCCAGTGAGGGGCCTTGAGGTTAAGGCTCGAAGGCCTCAGGGCATTTCTAGAGCGTGGGCATGGAAGCCTGCCCCTCCTCCTGAACTGTTGCTGTTTGGTACCAAAAGTCAACTAAACACACATAGCTCTAGATGATTAATGTAAAGATGATTGTTTTTATTTCTTATGACTTTTAAATTGTGTGATAATCAACTCTGCTTGTATAAATATCTGGGGATAACATAAGAGAGAGCCAAGAATATAAATTGATTTGAAAAATAAGTCAACTATTATAATAAATGGCTTTTGAATTATTCATATGTATAGCAATTTAATTTTTCTTCTTCAAAGCAATTGACATTGGTATTTCTTAAACATAAATTCACCTACTCTGTCTAAGCATATTAATCGCCATACTATATTACCAGTATATTACTTACCACCTAACTAAGTCTGTTGGAATTGAAATCTACATCCTGTGATACAGGACTTTTCACGGCATTTTTATACTTTATTTTCCTATGTGGAACTGATAATTACTGACTTACCTGTTGTAATTTCTTACCAGCTTATTTCAGTCTTTTGTAGAAAACTGGTACTGTTTTACCTTGACATTATTTCTTCTCTTTAGCTTACTATCCACCTACTCTCCCTGTTCTGGATTCTCTGTTAAGAGAATGGGAACACAGAGTAAGGAATAGAGAAGGCTGTCCGAAGATTTTCTTAGGCTACAGATGGCTCAGAATATGACTTAATGCACAGCCAGCTACCCTCAGTGACAAGTTTTGTTTAATCCTCATATTATCCCATATCTGTGATTTGTGATTATGATGAAGGTCAAGCTTTAATGCTTTTCTGCTGTGGAATTCGTTGAGATTAATATAGAGAGAAGTGTAGTTTATTAAAGTCTTGCCTAGGTTTTATAACTGAAATTTCCCTGCCTGTTTAAAAAGTCTACACAGCTGGAGAGGTAGGTAAGCATCTCCATCGTCATGCTGTCCTGACTCTGTACCAATCTGTTGGCTTAGATGTGTGTAGGCAAGAAGGGATGGAGGGAAGGTCATCTGTCCTGTCATACATCCATGAAAAACCAGGCCAAGCCTGATCTTGAGTGTGGGGAGCAGGGTGCTCTGTCTGAACCAAGCAAGGTAGCCACCTCATCTTCCACACATGTTCCAAAAGCACTGTTTGTGGTGACCAGAGTCCTGAGAATTTCAGATCCTCTTGGAAGTCCCAGTCGATTCCCCTTAGCTATTCAGCTTGATAACCACCTACATTAGGGCTTGGCAGCCTTTCTCTGGAAAGGACCAGATGGCGTTTTCAGTTTGTTGGCCATCCTGTCTCTGTCACAATGTAAAGCGCGCCATTGTGGAGTGAACACAGATGGTGTCAGTTAAGGAATGGGGGCAGCTCTGAGCTCAAGACTCACCTCGGGCCCTCCCTGCACGTTTCTACATGCTCTAACTTGGTCCAAGTGGAAGGCCGTAAGGGTATTGAGAAGGATTTGCAAAAGAGCTTGGGCCTTGAAGCAAGATGGGATTTCTGTGGATAATTTTAAGCTATCCATGGTGGCCTTGGGGAAATGATGGAAGGAGGTGTGTCTGAGAGGTCATGGAGCTGCCTGGAGGGGCCCGGAGCACATGGGAGGATGAGCCCAAGAGTGGGAGCGGGACCAAGAGTGTTGTGTAACCAGGAACAGTGAGAGGCTATGGTCTGTCTGTGAAGGTTAAACTGTTACGAAAAAAGTATTATCAAAGAAACACAGAATTTTAGGCCTGGCAGGAACCTTGTTTTAGCAGGTTAGAAACCAGAATCCTAATCGAATGGAAATCTTCTGAGCCTCCGAGCACTGGGCTTTCACCTAGTCCCTCCTGCTTTTCCATTATATTTTTTTTCCTTAAAAAAAATAACTATAAACCTAAAAGTTTTAAAAAATGAACTTTGTATAAAAGAAGGTATTTTTTTTTTTTTGTGGCTTTAGAATTACCTTTATTTTTTTTTCTTATGTTAATCCCCATACATTACATCATTAGTTTTAGATGAAGTGTTCCATGATTCGTTGTTTGTGCACAACACCCAGTGCTCCATGCAGAACGCGCCCTCCTCAAT